TTTTCTGCTCAGCAACTTATTAATTTTAAGTTAAATTGTGCTTTGTTCTTATAATGTCTGCTAGAATTTTTTAAAAAAAGTTCAGTGTCAAGTAAATATTTTTAAATTGTTGTTTTGTAATTGTTTTTTTTTTATTTGAAAAGCAGGACAAAACAGTAAAAAGCACATTTTGGCAATTTAATTAATGCAATGATGAAAAAAATGGCAAAATAGGCCTACATGGGTGAAAAATGTGAAAAACCGTGTTCGGTATTCGGCCTTCGGCCCAGTGTTTCATTTTGTTCGGCTTCAGTCAAGAATTTTCATTTCGGTGCATCCCTACATAGCACAGTACTACTTGAAGTTATTCACACTTTAGTGTGATAAGGAAATATGCATGAATGAGAAAATAAAAAGCAATACATACTTGATGTAAAATATAGTTATTAAGTGCAGTAAGCTGTGAAAAATTGACACACATCTAAAGTAGGCTATGTGCACAGAAATCCGCCTCAGACAGCATGAGCTCACAAATTCATCTCACTTTCACATCTTATTGTGCTTGAATGGTCAGATCACACAATTATGTCAAAATGCACGATGTGTCGAATATTTACAGTCGGTTATGTCATAAGTGAATGTATACAGTTGAGAGAAAACTGGATGTGTATCAGTATATTGGATCCGTTCATTTGGTCTTAAAGTGACAGCAGCATAATAAACCTGCTGCTGTCTGTGTCATTTATGTTAATCAAAAAACAAAAGACAAAGAGAAAGTCACTCGCTGCTCTTGACTGAATCACTTCTTTGTCTTTAATAATTCATATTTGATTAATACAGTGTAGACTGTGCAGTGTTTTAATTTTACAATTGATTATTCAATTTCTGTAGTATTTCTTACTACTTTAAATAAACCTACTGAGCTGAAAAACGTCATCTTTTTTAATTGATATTTGTTCTATTGTATTTGTCTTATTGTTTGTAATTTGCTTCTTTGTTCTTATTATTTTTTTAAATTCTCATACCTTGAAATAAGATATTGGTCATATCGCCCACCCCTAGTTTGTTCTACACGATTTTGGCTTCAATACAGTGTCAGTCTCTGGTACCTCTGTGTATCAGCTGATACTTAAGGCTACTATATAAATAAATGGCAAACACACCAAATAACTCTAAAAATCTTTAAATATGTGTTCTGCAGGGAGACAAAATTCTGTCTTGTGTGGTTCATAATAATAAACGTCTGGTTTAAGTTTCAGAGACCCCTCCTCCAGGCTACCTGAGTGAGGATGGGGAAACCAGCGACCACCAAATGAACCACAGCATGGACACAGGTAAGAGCCCTGAGATCACAAACAAGTTGTTGCTCTTACTTAGATACCTAATTATATTTGTTTGTACTTATCTAATTCTATTTTTTAGGTTCCCCAAACCTTTCACCCAACCCTGTCTCTCCTGCCAACAGCAACCTAGGTAAGAACAGACACTTATTCATAATGTTTCACAGCCAAATATTATGTATTCATAAAGATCCCAGATTGTCTAAGGGGTATAGATTACGAAACGTTTTTACACATCTACTCATTCTTTACTATTATTCTAACATGTGGAAAATAGTTTAACAAAAAAGTAAAAAAAGTTGAAGTTAAACAAAATCTTGTAGAAGTTATCCGATATTTAAAATGTTTCGAAGTCGCCACCTTTTGCGAAAACTTAAGCTTTCCTGTCGGCACCTCTCGCCTTTCACGTGTGGCTGTAGTTTCTTTCATGAAAATAGTCATCACTAAAAGTGTTTGTTGTCATGGGAACCATGCAGAGTCAGTCTGATTTCTGTAAGTACTCCACCCCACTGTGATTTTAATCTGGATGGATTATCTCTGACATATTATCTCCATAACGTTGGTCTGCCTGCCTGGTCCTGTGTGAGGTGATTTAGTGAGAATGGAAGTCTGCTTCAGTGAGCCCACGAGAAAACACTAGGACGAGTCACTGCCAGTAAAACACATGAGTAATGCCACCAGCATCCTGTACTATCCTAAATAAATGAGACTGTTTTTTTTGTTTTTTTTACATTATTACATTTATATTATTACATTTTACATTATTATTACCCCTTAAGCCTTTTACACACTGCACGATTTTAGCAATCCTATAAGATCATTGCCGATCACACTGCGTGACATGGATCTAATAAACTTGGGTACGACAATTATGCAGACTGTACGATAATGACACCTATTGGCTCGTGAGCTTCGACACACTTTTCTATAGAAGAATAAAACGTTATCAGCATGTGCTAGTGGTAAACAAAAAGAGCATGATGAATCACACTTTGGCAGTTGTATTTTTTATGTGTGCTGAAAAAAAGTGGAAGCAGCAAAAGAGGAAGGGATAAGAGTTTGAAGTAAGCAGTTTTATGTTTTAGCGCCATGTCGTGTTGATTTCATCTCGCATTTTTATTGGCTGGTTAGTAAACGTGGGTCGTAGCAGCAAACACACTGTGTGATGATCATGCTGAATTTCTGACACTGTCAGAAAATTATCGTAGGCTATCTTTGGTCACAAGACCTTGACAACAGCCATCTTTGAACCTCTCTCACTGTACGACTTAGTATCACCGATTAGGAGCCACGATCATAGAAATCGCCACGATTGTTGATTGTTTCACAATACCAATCTTTCATCTGGGACAGCCGAAAATCATGCAGTGTCTTGGGCTTTAGCTGTTTAAATCATTTAGCCATATGCACACAGATACTGTATATATTGTTATCATTTCAAAATCAGCTAGTTGGGGTGATTGTTTGAACAACTAGTCACACTAAGAAGTGTAATAATGTTGGTGCCAGTCAATTTATACTTAAATTGAATGTAATTTTAGTTATGCACTCACATTCCTCTTGTGCATAGGCACAAAAGTTAGATCATAGACAGTGAAAAAGCACAAAAGAAAGGTGCACAGTGCTGAGACAAAATTTTTCAATATCACTTCATCATCAGTGTTTATTAGGAATTTACAGTACTATTTGGGGTTGGTAAGATTTTTTTTTTTTAATGTTTTTATGCTCACAAATATTTTGTAATATTATTACAATTTCAAATAACTGTTTTCTGTTTTAATGTATTTTAAAATATAATTTATACCTGTGTTAGAAAAGCTGAATTTTCATCACTCCAGTCTTCAGTGTCACTGGATTCTTCGGAAATCATTCTAATATGATGATTTGGTGCTCAAGAAACAATTCTTAATATTATCAGTGTTGAAAACAGTTGTTGCTGTTTAATATTTTGTGGAAGCAGTGATACATGTTTTTTTCAGGATTATTTGATGAATAGGAAGAACAGTGTTTATGTAAAATAATCATTTTAGAAATCTTTTGCTATGTGTTCACTGACACGTTGAATTAATGTAATGCAACCTTGCTGAATAAAGTACATTTAAAAAAAATATATTACTGACCCCAATTTTTTGAACGTTAGTATAAAAATATAGATGTATCCTCTAAATGTAAATGTATAAATTCTATATAAATAAGATTAATATCTAGTTATTTAATTGACTAAATAGGCTAAATAACACTAATTTTGAAAAATGATTATTTAACAATAAATATTCAATCTAAAAATTAATATAGATATATTTACTAAGCTACTAGTCAACTCATCGCTGAATGGGGGTTGGAGTTTGTTCTCTCTCATGTCACAATAAACCATGTGTGTGTTTAGTGAGCCCCAGTCCCAGGCTTTGCCTCTTGGCTGCATAAGAGGAAACCTCATATAAAAGGGTCTTTTGTTTCTGTCCTCTCAGTCAGCCCAGGGTAATGTAATAATAATAATATCCTGTCGCTGGGTTGTTCTATCTCTGCAGAGACACCAGGAGGCCCTGCAGTAAAAATAACAAATAACCAATTTCACATGGACAGCCTGCTGTTTTCAAAGGGCCACATTCTGTCACAATGTGACACTGATTTTACACCAGAATCCAAAGTCCAGAGCTTTTCCTGTTCTTTCACACTTTGTCTTTGTTCTGCACTTGTTTTGTAACTCTGATCCTTTCTCATGCTTATTTGTGTGTGTGTGTGTGTGTGTGTGTGTTAGATCTGCAGCCGGTAACATATTGTGAATCCGCATTTTGGTGCTCGATTTCCTACTACGAGCTGAATCAGCGTGTGGGCGAGACTTTCCACGCCTCGCAACCGTCTCTGACTGTAGATGGCTTTACGGACCCCTCTAACGCAGAGCGCTTCTGCCTGGGCCTGCTGTCCAACGTCAACCGCAATGCAGCCGTGGAGCTGACGCGCAGACACATCGGTACATTCAGCTATGGAAGATATTGGAATTAGAGTTTCTGAAATAAACTGAATCTGTTTAACCTCTTAACCTTTCCTCAGGCCGAGGTGTACGTTTGTATTACATCGGCGGTGAGGTGTTTGCTGAGTGTCTGAGCGACAGTGCTATTTTCGTCCAGAGTCCGAACTGTAACCAGCGGTATGGCTGGCACCCCGCCACAGTATGTAAGATTCCTCCAGGTGAGTCAGCCCGTCTGTGTACTGATTGGATGAATGTGCAGCTGTGTATATACATCCTGTGAGTCACTCAAGCATGTTCTAGTGTCAGACTTCCTCATTCTGTTTCATAGAAGCACTCAAGCATATACAATTGTGTTTGCCTCAGGCTGTAATCTGAAGATCTTCAATAATCAGGAGTTTGCAGCTCTGTTGGCCCAATCAGTGAATCAGGGATTTGAGGCTGTTTACCAGCTGACCCGCATGTGCACCATTCGCATGAGTTTCGTCAAAGGCTGGGGGGCAGAATACAGGTAAGACACTCGTCAGAGAAAGCACATACATTACCATTCAAAAGCTTTTTGAAAGAAATTAATACTTTTATTCTGCAAGAAATTATATATATTCCTATAATTATAGTATATACTGTATTCTATCCTATAATAATTTACTCATCACAGGTAGCACATACAGTACACTACTGTTCAGAAGTTTAGGATCAGTAAGATTTTTTTTTTCTTTTCAAAGAAATTAATACTTTTATTCTGCAAGAAATTACATATATTCCTATTATTACAGGTTATATTCTATTCTAGAATAATTCACTCATCACAGGTAGCACGTACACTACTGTTCAAAAGTTTAGGATCAGTAAGATTTTTTTTCTTTTTGAAAGAAATTAATACTTTTATTCTGCAAGAAATTACATATATTCCTATTATTACAGGTTATATTCTATCCTAGAATAATTCCTTCATCACAGGCTGCATATACACTACTGTTCAAAAGTTTAGGATCAGTAAGATTTTTTTTTTCTTTTTTAAAGAAATTAATACTTTTATTCTGCAAGAAATTGCATATATTCCTATTATTATAGGATATATTCTATCCTATAATAATTCAATCATCACCGGTAGCACATACACTATTGTTCAAAAGTTTGAGATCAGTACAATTTTTTTTCTTCTTTCTTCTTAATACTTTTATTCTGCTTATATTCTGTTGTATAATAATTATATATACTCTACACGCGTCCTGGAAAACCTGGAAAATTGATGACTAATTTTCTAGTCCTGGAAAACACATGGAAAATGAGAGAAAATGTAAAATGTCCTGGAAACTCTTGTTGTTGTCCTGGAAAATTATTATTTAATAAAAAGTAATTGTGTTTTCCTTTAGCCAAGAACGAACAGTTTACCATTGACCCGAAACAATTAGGCCTAGACATAAAAAAATCAAATCCGCATATTAGAATGATTTCTGAAGGATCATCATGTGATCATGTGACACTTAGGAATGGGATAAAAACGGGAAAATTCAGCTTTGCCTTCACAGGAATGAATTACATTTTCAAATATATTACAATAGAAAACAGTTGTTTTAAATTGTAATAATATTTTACTTAATTCTACCATTTATATTTCAACTTATTGCTTATGCAAAGGTAGAACCTGCTTTTCTAAACCTGTTTTTCAAAACTGCGTCACTTTCAAAAGTGCTCTGTACTCATAAATGCTGAGTATTAAAAACAAATGCAGAAATGGCATTTAATCACTTTATTTCTGTGACAGTAGCACACAAAAAGCTAATGGTTGCCCTTGATTACGGTAAAACGGATATTCCTGGCTGGTCTGTAGTTTGTTAAAAATGCTGGGCAGGCATGGAAGCACATTAGTGACCCAGATTCTCCTTCCTGCAGGCGGCAGACAGTGACCAGCACCCCCTGCTGGATAGAGCTGCATCTCAATGGCCCCCTGCAGTGGCTGGACAAGGTGCTCACTCAGATGGGCTCTCCGAACCTCCGCTGCTCCAGCGTGTCATAGGACAAACCCTCAGCCCGTTTCATGTAACTATACCTTTTTAATGACATCTTTTATTGCTGCTGAATGCCAAGCGAACAAACAGAGCGAAGCCCAGGCCGGGGGAGACAAACACCTGCTGGACTCCTCAGAGTGTCACTTTATCATTTAAAGATTCTAATATTTTGCTGTGGGCCAAAATAGACACGTACAGTTGAAGCACTTTGAACAATGACACTCAAGGAGCATGGATGATATTTCCTCAGTGTGATGAGTTTAAAATGAGGCATTTTCCTCATTGTGAATTAACATGTGATAATGAAATCATGATTTTGTCCGTTTTTGTTTTGATCAAGAAGTGTATCACGCATTTAATTTGATCTGAAGGTATTAGAATCTTGGGCTCGGAATATGATTGCTTAAAATCATAAACATCCTCATTGGGGGCCTCAAAGAGTGCTTTGTTTCCACCACCTTCAGTGAAGGGGTCTTGTGGGAACTTTTACAGTATGTTAGCCTGAAGCTAGTGCTTCGGGAAGCTGTTTGTGTGTAAGTAAATTGCACTGCGCTGGACAGGTCAATATACAATGTGATTGCCTTTGGTCTCATATGCACGGTCGACCAGGTTTGTATACAGGAACTGAGTGTGTAGAGTTATAACAGCGGTACTTAGCCTTGATTATGAAAAGCACTTGTTTTGAAAAGCACCCAGTGATGGCGTGAACAAGAAAATAGCATTGGAAATTTGTCAGTGACAAATGCTAGTAGCTAATAGTGCCATTTTATTTCTTGAACTTGATGGTTAATGTTTGAATTATGCTCAGCAAATAAATGTTAAAGTATTTTTGCATTATAAACTGAATGGAGATTGCGAAAGTATATTTTTACTGCTGCCATAGGGTAATTAAGTTGTAATTAAGACACTTGTCATGTTACACACAGATATAAAAAAAATGGTCACATTAACAAAATTTCACAGATTTTTACAGTCTGTTGTCAACAATGTTGTGATATATTTAGCATCAGTCTTTCACGTGATTGCACAGACTCCTATCGAAATGACTGGATTTTGCCTGAGAAAATTCACAGAACATTTAATGGGAACTCACCATTAGTCATCACTTTTTTTCTTTTCAGCAATCACTTGATTTCATTGTCCTTTCATTGATTCTGTTCTGTGTATGATTGGCGCATCAAAGGGATGTCTGAAACTCAGGACTGTCAATCCATTGAGCTCAAAACTCAAGTAACAACTAACAGCATTTCATGTCTCTACATATTTCACAATTTTACTGTCAGTGATTTCTGAGTGGGCCACTATTTTGAGTTTTTATTTTTCACAGAAAAGTGGAAGGCAAGTACTGCTGGCAGCTCTTGGAACGCATGTATTTTCATGTAAAAATTTATTTCACAAGAGAATAGTGTAAATGGCTAGATTTTTTTATGTGGTGGTAGCGGACATATTTTAGGTATCAATTCTGCTTAAAAAGATGCAATCTAATCCTGTTTACATGAAATAAGCCTGCTCCCGATCAGGTTTAAGCTTAAGGACCTGTTGCTCTGACAGCAACTCCGGGATGAGCTTCGAAGAACCAAACAATCCACGATCATGCCAAATCATCAACAATCAAACCCAGCTGAGTTAGCGACGTACGAAGAACGGGCCCCAGGTTATTCAAATCCCTTGATTTGTTTAGTACTGACATTCAACAACTAACTCAATGCATGGTCTGGCTTTTAACAGCATACATCAGCAGTCCAAAAGCATTTTATTGGAAGATGTCTGGTCTCAAGGAATAAGCTCTGAATCACTGATCATGAAAATCCTGACAATCTGTTTGATTTTTTAAATCAAATTGATGTTTCATTGAACAACTGACGCTTGTGTTTGATTCCCCCAAGCTATGTTTTTTGCTATTAATCTTGCCGGCTCTTCATCTGTGACTCAACAGGGCCAAAGCACACAGTGGACTGTTGATATTATTTAGATTTGCCCTTTTTGCTGGAATATTGCTTATATCCTGTTTATTTTCTTGCACTCTTGATTTGGAAGCAAATACAACATTCTTTGTCTTATAGAGTCAGTAATTTAATTCATATTCTGAAACTGGTCCTTAGTTATTGTTTGCCCTGAATTTCCTTTTTGCTTTTCTGTAACGTACCCTCATGTTTACTTCTCTTGCATTCACTGTCATATTGACTTTTGTTATGTACGTTTTAATAATAAAATGTTTTAAGAGCATCGTTTCAGACTTTTTCTTACAGTATGTAAAAAAAGATTTCATCATGTCAAATGTATTTGACAAATGTATTTCCAAACAAAACAAAAGAACATCAAAACTGATTCGACAGATCATTCTTTTAATTGATGAAGAGCTAATGACATGCACAAGCATAGTCCATAATTGTGACTTACATCGGAAAAATAAGTTTAAAAACAATCCACTTTTGTCAGCTCATCCATCATTTGATTTACAACTCCTTTGACAGAACCATAGGCTTCATCCTTGTATGTGGCTGCAGACTTGCACTGACACCACCAGAGAACAGGCATAGAGAACAAGATAACAATCTTGCCCCCTGCAACCCATCCCATGGCTCTGCGATTACAATGTTTGAAGCCAAATGCCCATAATCACTCTGTACTGCCTGATTGAGGTGCTGGACACTGTCATTATAGTAACAGCAGTATCATAAAATTCTCCATTGCTGTTTTTTGCCTGCATTCTTCCATGTTTCTTGGGCGGGACAGGACTGGGCTGGGCAGATTTGGGATGACTGGGGGTTCAAAGGGTGGGCTGAGTAGCAACAGTGGAAGCTGGGGCCTTAACTCTCCTCTCCTGATGACAAGCCGTCAATCTCATCTTGGTCTCCACCAATAGCCATCCAGAACGCTTTAGCAACCTGATTGAGGGCAATTCAATTGTTAACGCAACATTCAGATTTTAAAACTATTAGCATTAGTATTAATTAGATCATATTAAAGGTATATTACCTTTTCTGCATGGACTTTCCTCTGGTCATGTGGCAACGAAGAGGCCTTGTCTACAAATAAAAAACGTTTTAAGAATATAATGAACATTATTTGTAAAAACAGGTCTTCACTTTTGAATTTCGGTAAATTATTTAAAAAAGATATGTTATTCAACAAGGACACATTAAATTGTCGCAATAAAAATCCTGAAAATAAAAAGTATCACAGTTTCCACAAAAACATTAAGCAGCACAACTTTTAACAGTGATAATAACAAATTCAGCTGTCATTACAGGAATGAATTACATTCTAAAATATATTAAAATATAGAACCGTTAAAGGTTATACTGTAAAAATATTTCATAATATTCCTGTTTTTACTGTATTCTTGGTGAACATAAGAAACCTCTTACCAAGACATTAAAAAAAAACTACTGACCCCAAACATTTGAACAGTAGTGTATATATATATATATATATATATGTGTGTGTGTGTGTGTGTGTGTGTGTGTGTACCTTTCATCTCTTTCAATTTAGTAAAAAGTCGCTCAAAATTCTCCACATCTGCATCTCCAGCTGTTAGATTAGCCAACTCTTGTATGTCTATGTCAATCATGGGATCTGTGACAGATTAGCAAATATTTAATTAAACAATGCACACAAATACGTTCAAGTAAGTATTTAAACAATGGCTTATTCCATTTGTACTTTAAATGCTAATATCCTATTTTATCATATCATTAATTTACCTCCAAAATGAGTATAAATATATTGCCCTTAACAAAAGCACTTACCGACTGCTGTATCTACTGCATTATTCTGGTTATTCTCTGCTCTCTGGCTCTCAGTGCCTTCATCTGTACTGTTGGATGGGGAATGAGAGGACTAATAACAAGAAACATAGTCTGTTACAACGAGATGACCTCAAGACTCTTAATTACCTAAAATACTCTAAATAATGTTCATCTACATACATTAAAAAGCAGCACACTTAGAAAAGGCTAACCAGTGTCTCCTGACTGGGTCGTGGGTTGTTGTGATGAGAGGCCACCAGGCTGCTCATTAGCCCAAATCCCTGACTGTGTTCTGAGAAGAATAAATGATAATTAAAGGGAAAGCTAATTGAATATGAATATGATTTGTTGTAGATGCCATTGTATATTTCGCATTAGGGCAGTACAATTTTACCATCTTTCATCTCAACGCTGGACCACACGTTGGCATTGAGGGCCTGAACGATTCTTTTTACTCCAGTGGACTCTGGGAAGTCATCTATGGGGTACACAAAGACTGTAAACAAAATGATTCACGTGCATAATCGTGACTAAACTTTGTTTCGTCTCTCACCATCTTCATCAGGTAGATCTTGAGGGTTGAGCTCTACTAATTCAAATGCGTGAGCTAGACACCACTGCTGGGCCTCCTGTTTGCTAACACCTGCAATGGCATATTTACACCAAACTTAGCAAAAAACTGCATATGTTGCATCCAAACCACTGAATAAGTAGTACCAAACACACACTCACCACTGTCACATGCATGATCACACACTAGGATCAGCACTTCTGGAGCCAAATCCTCCACTACTGATAACCAGGAGTTGACACTGTTAAGGCCGTTTTTCTAAAACACAAAAACAGTTGAAGCAAGGCACATGCAATTAATGGTGAATTTGTCAAATGATCATAATGTCGACAACTCACAGTTTTGCTGTCAAAGTAAACGATGAACGCTTGCATAGACCTGGCAACCTCTGTATTCATGTCGAATGGACTTGAAACAACACATAAGCTGACGTTTGCTGTGTAGTACTTGTTGTTGATTGTCCATGGATACCAAGAAACTCTTTCCTCTATCTTGGTAGCTTGAGGTAGTGATTCTGAGCCCAAGATCTCTGAAATAAAACATTCAAAACTGTAATTGGCCAAGTGTGTGTTTGATATCATTAAAAAACACTAGCAGTGAAAACAGTCTCTAAAGTAAGACATAGAATGTGTAAATTAACTGAAGCTCAACACTGCCGCCTGCTGGACACAAAGAATCACTAGATGTAAAGAATTACAA